AAGGGAAATTTTCATCTATCCTACAAGATTTCGATTTATTTGCGATTTTGCAGCAACTATAAATTTAATTACATATGTACCTAAAATTATTGAATTAATTAGAGATTTACTTTATTCCACTTACCATACAAAAACGTTGACCCGAGAGAAATTAAAATAAATAACTTACTCATTTCATTCCTTAATTCGCGCAACTAGAAACTTTTTAATTCACGCAATGGTATATATTGAGTATATGTTAATATATATTCAGTATATGTGGGCAGCTGGAATTCCTTATTTCACGCTGTTGTCAAGTGGTATATATTGGGTTTATGTTAGTATATATTCAATATATGTGCGCAACTATAATTCCTTGATTTGTATATATTGCGTTTATGTTAGTATATTTTCAGTATATTACGATGAAAAAAATGCCTTTGATCAAAAAATTATATCTTCCTCTTTTTTTTTTAATACATAAAAATATATATATAATTTAAAAACATATTATAACAGATTATATAATATATATTATACATATACACAATAAAAAAAAAATTAATTTATGCTAAATATAAATTAATTTTATATATAAAAATTATGTCTCAATGTTTAGCCATTCACGATCCTCGAAATCTCACACCGAAATCTCAAAAACGTGGCTGCTTCTTTCCACACCTAAATCTCAGCCATTCGGATTTCCCCTGTGAACACCCGAGACCACGTGGCGGCTTCTTTCCACACCCAAATCTCAAAAACAAAAGGTGCAGCAGGATCAATGTTCTTCAGCCATTTACAATCCTCGAAAACAACAGCAGCAAGCCACGCATCATACTCAACAGGATAAACAGTACCGTTATAAAGAGAAGGTTGTAGAAAGGGTTGAATTTCAAAGGGGCCGTGAAGGCAGAAAAATTGCTTCCACGAATCAAATCGGGTCTGAAGGATTAGGGTTGATTATTTTGAGTTGTTTTATAGGGAGATTTGATTGGATTTGGATAAGGATGAAGGTATATGTGCAAATATGTTACATGATTTTGTATCTTTGCAAATAAATATTAATTGAATGTAATTATGTAATATATAGTATATTTGATAGTATGGAGTGTAAATTCCTCTACAAATTAATCCATTAGTGTTTTGCAACTTAATGAGACGGTCGGATGAGAGAAATAAAACTTATATCAAAATAGAGCTCCGTGTGCTTTTAAAAATAAATCAATGTCGCACTACAAAAAAATTGTTATAGTACAACGGAAAATCCTATGATAATATATTCCAATGAAAATAAATATTCCAATGGTATTTCCGTTGAAATGATTCCAACAGAAATTCCAATAAAAATATTCCATTAGAATGAGTTTTTCATTGGAATTTTAGATGAAATTTGTTGATTCCAACAACTATATTTTCAATGGCTTTTTACTGTAAGAATTTTCGTTGGAATTTTTATTTCCACGCTCGTTGGAAAATCTACCGTTGGAAACGTCAAAATCCAACAGAAATTCCAATGGAAAACTCATTTCAACAGAATATTTTTATTGGAATTTCCGTTGAAATCCATTAGAAAATTCCAACGAATATACTAGTAGAAAAATATCCATTGAAATTGTCATTAGAATTTTATTAGAATATATATCCGTTAGATTTTCATTATTTATTTTAGTGTCATCTTCTGCATGAAATAAGAAATTATTATCCATAAAAGTATTCATTAAAGATTTGTGATTATGATTGCATTTTGAAATATAAAACTTGGACATGTGATTAAGGATTGGAGCACTTATTTATTGTATTTATTGAAAAACAAATATAATAATTTCAAACATTGCTGATTGAATCCAACTTTTCTAAATTTATATATAATTACACGTTTTTCCAATTTTGCTATTTTATCTACCAGACTTGATATTCGTGCCCAACCTGATGACGACTTCATAACATGCATATTATGAATTTTCTGTATTAATTGAAAAACAATTATAATAATTTCAAACATTGCTGATTGAATCTAACTTTTCTAAATTTATATATAATTACACGTTTTTTCAAATTTTGCGATTTTATATACCAGACTTGATATTCGTGCCCAACCTGACGTCGACTTCATACATGCATATATGAATTTTCCTCGCCTGAACTTATTCGAAAAAAATAAAATAAAAAATCACATTCTCCAAATTTAGATATTTATGCAAACATCTTTCAATTTTGCATATAAATACGTGAAATTTTATTTATTTTTTCTGCATTTCATTACATGAAGGAGTAAATTCAGGTCAAATGGAGATCAACTTATGCGAACCAATGTGAACTTTCATGTAGTATATTTGTGGTTTGTGAATATCAAAAAAGGCTTAGAAAAATGAAGAAAACGAAACAAAATCAAAGTCGGGGCACGTAATAGTTACGTTCTTCTTAAGATGAATTGCCTCGTAAAATACCCACGGTTAACGACAAACGCCTCCAAGATACAACGACTTTCGACTTGTATATAGTGGTACTTCACATATACAAGCCTTCGGCGAACACTACAATTGTTTGGAACTCTAAGACTCAATGAAAAATTCATAGACCACAATATGCTATATGATCTTTGAAAAATAATGCAAGAGCTCTCTAATTTTCAAGTTATTAATGATTCGAAGTATGTGGGTATTTATAGATGTAGGGAAACACCTCCAAGAGGTTTACGTGTCAAAAGACACCTTTTGGGACGTGCCCGAACGAGAACAGATGCATCTAGTGGCCAATAGATACCTTATGGTCACCAAGGGTTGCGATCCTTGATTTCCGCAGCCAATTGCGCGCCTGTACGCCACGGGCTCGTACGAGCTCATACGGAGTCGAAATCGAGTTCCGTTTTTTCCTACTTGTTTTCAACGAACCCCTCTAGAGTTCTAACATGCAAACTGCATGACAAGGTCTTATTTGGATTATGCTAACACTTGTCCTTTTTTTTTTTTTTTTTTTTTTTTTCCTGAAACGATAGAATATGATATATCATCAAATGTACCAAATACAAGCCGAGAACCAACTGGTTCGAATACAAGAGAAGCACCATTCTACAGGTGTTCTAGAATACAAAAGCTACACCAACACAACACGTGCAAGCTTGCAGAAGCATGCTAAGGCCTGGATGAAACTGTATCCCTTAGCACCTCATTTTAGCTCGGATTACCAAACAAAACAAACCACTACAGCAATAACTGAACAGTTACAGAAACAGCCTAACCCCTATCAATAAGAAAAAGCAGAACCACACTAAGAAAGGTGCAGTAAGGAAGCACCCACTGGACATCAAAGAACCTAGGCCCACTTCCCTCCTGCTGAACCTAACTGCTGTTCCTGTTTGCAAATTCCTGCCATTCCTTCATGGCAAGTTTAACAATGACATGAGCTGGCAGCCACTCCTTTTTGAAGACCCACAGGTTGCGAGCTTTCCAGAGCCACCACAATATGTATGTGGTGAGCTCTATTCTGGCCACAGACACTTCAAGCTTATTCACAGAACAAACATCTACCCACCAGTTCTTGAATTTTGTTGATCCATCAAGTGCAATATCCCAGTAAATAGGTGAGTTTTTCCAGACTTCCTTAGCTTTACTGCATTGAAAGAATAGATGCTCTACTGTTTCCACCTGTGCCCCACAAGAACTGCAAATAGCATCAACAAAGAGCCCTCTCCTTCTCAGTTCTGCTTTGACTGGCAATGCAGCTGAGAAACACTTCCACAAGAAATGCTTGAGTTTGCCTTTAACTTTGAGCTGCCATGTTCTGTTTCTGACTTTCCTTACCACATTTGCAGATGTGCTACTCTCAGCAATATCCAACCTTCTGAATTTGTCAGTAACCAGCTTAGAGTAGACTCTTGCCACTGAGAATTTATCCATAGCTTCATTATTCCATATCCACCTGTCTTTCTTGTGAGGATCAAGATTTTTTATTTTCAGAATTTTTGCACTGTCTTCATCACTGAACAGCTGCTTGACTAGATGAACATTTCACTGTCTTCCACCTTCCTCCATTAATTCCCAAACCTTCTGAATCTCAGGTTCAACATTCACAGCCCTAGCAGATTTGATAAAAGGTGTTGATGAAGCCCAAGGATCCCCCCAAATATTAGTTGATATCCCATCTCCAATCTGAATTTGAAGGCACTTCTTGTATCTGTCTCTGACTGACATCCACGTTGACCAAAGCCAAGAGGCATTCTTCTTTACAATAGCCTGAAATATGCACCCAGATGTAAAGTATTTGCTCTTCAGGAATTTACTGACCAACAGGTTTGGTGAAGTCGCCACTCTCCACAGCTGCTTTAGAATTAAGGCATCATTGAATAACTGCAGATCATAGAACCCAAGACCACCTAACTTCTTTGGGAGAGTAACAAAGGCCCACTTCTTCCAATGAATCCCAGTTGAGTTATCACCCCCACTCTTCCACCAGAATTTAGCACATATACTAGCAATTTCAAGGCATGTAGCTTTGGGCAGAGCAAAACAGGACATAGTGAAGATAGGCAAGGCAGAAAGCACTGAATTCATTAACACTTCCTTACCTGCAAGTGAAAGGAAGTTGTTTTTCCAGCTGGAGACCCTTTTTCTGACTGCCTCAACAACAAATTCAAATGTTTGCCTTTTTGATCTTCCAATTCCAAGAGGTAAGCCAAGGTATTTTGAGGATCTGTGAACTTGCACCCCACTGAGAAGCTGACAAATCTCATGCTGCAAACTGACAGTGACATTCTTGCTAAAGAAAATAGAGGATTTGTGGAGATTGACTTTTTTACCAGAGAATTTATGATAAGAATCAAGAATTCTCAAAACAGCAGAGATAGAATTAGCATTAGCTTCACAAAATAAAAGAGAATCATCAGCAAACAATAAGTGAGATAACCTCAGCCCACCCTTAGCCAGCCTCACCCCTCTCAAAACTCCCCTATCAACCTCTCTTTTGATCAATCTGGAAAAGAGCTCAGAGGCAAGAATAAAAAGATAAGGGGACAGTGGGTCCCCTTGTCTAATCCCCCTAGAAGCTTCAAAGTACCCACACAACTCACCATTGATATTTAAAGAAAAAGAAGCAGAAGTAACACACCCCATAATCCATTTGACAAACATTTTATGAAACCCAAATTGCTTCAGAATATTATACAAGCAGTGCCACTCAAGCCTATCATAGGCTTTCATCATATCAAGTTTGAGTGCTAAAAAACCTTTCATGCCTGATCTATGCCTATTTAAGAAATGAATAACTTCATGGGCCATGATTACATTATCTAACAATTGCCTCCCAGGGATATAAGCTGCTTGGTTCTCACTCACACACAAATGAAGATAAGGCTGAATTCTAGAAGCAAGAATTTTAGCTGTGATCTTGTATGCTACTTCACATAAACTGATAGGTCTGAAATCACTGAGAGAAGAAGGGTTTATACATTTGGGAATCAAGGTGATGATAGTATGGTTCCAACTTCTCAGGAGCATACCAGACTCAAAAAAACTAGAAACAACAGCACACAAATCATTCTTGATGATAGGCCAAAAATGTTGGAAAAATAGAGGGGACATACCTGAAACTCCTGGGGCTTTCTCTGGGTTCATACTGAATAGGGCTGTCTGAATTTCATCTTCATCAACCAAGGCTAATAGGCTGTTATTGATCTCTTGAGTAATAACTGTGGGAATAAGCTGAAGAACACCCTCATCATCAGCAGAGCCTTCAGAAGAGAACAACTTCTTATAGAACTGACATGCTTCTGCTTCAATTTCAGCCTTAGAGTCACAAACTCTGCCATCATCAGCCAAAAGTCTAGAAATAGCATTGAGTTTCCTCCTTTGAATGGTTAGGGCATGGAAAAATCTAGTATTCTGGTCCCCCTCTTTAAGCCATAAGTTCCTTGATTTCTGCTTCCAAAACAATTCTTCTTCACATTGTGCAGTATCTAACTCCTTCTTGATTTGTTCCCAGGTGTCCCAATTTTTTCCATCACTCATAAGTCTCATTTCCTCAAGCTGAAGAGTAAGCTTCTCAATGTGTTTGGCATTGTTGGATTTAAATGCTTGGCTCCACTTCAGAAGAGCCACCCTAGTAAGCTTGATCTTTTCTTGGAACTGAAACATGGGAGTACCTAGGCATTGAGAGTCCCAGGCTTCTTGAACCACATTCTGCACATCTGATTTGGCTATCCATCTTTTATCAAAAATGAATATGGATTTCTTCCTGTGCTGAAGCTGATCACTGAGCAACACCATCAGACTATGGTCAGAAGAGGATTTGAAGCAGTTTAATACTTTAGCATTGTTGTGAGCAGCTGACCACTGAAGAGAACCAAAAACTCTATCCAGCCTTTCTTCCACAAAGTGTTCTTTTATGCGGTTGTTTGACCATGTGAATTGATGCCCCTGTATAGCCACCTCCACCATCTCCATTTGACTAATAAAGTTTTGAAAACTTCGCATGTCAGCGATGCTCTTGTCTCGGCCGCCTCTTTTCTCACTTAGGTCCATAATTGCATTCCAGTCCCCTCCTATTATCCACTCTTGACCCCACTTAGCTTTAGCTTGAACAAGAAATCTCCACTGTTCTTCTCTAACAGCTTTATCAGTACTAATATAGACAAAGATCAACCACAAGGTACCCACACCATCAGGCTTACTAACTTCCACTTCAAAACAAAAAGGGTGCTGAATAATTTGCACAATGCTCTGATTAATATCCCACATAAGCACTAAACCTCCACTGATACCTAAGGGGTTGGCAGCAACCCACCTACCCCTATAACCTAACTTAACACAAACAGACTGAACAAAATCTTTTTGTTTTTTTGATTCTGAGAGAAAAATGAAGCTGGGATGGTGGATTCTGATGGAATCCTTCAGTTGAGAAACTGTAGAGGGTCCACCCAACCCTCTACAGTTCTATAGTATCATCTTCATTGATCCA